ACGGAAGAACTTGTGATATATATTCATGAGATCATTTTAACTCACATTTTCGTGAAGCACTGAGAAACTAGGTACTAGGCGGAGTGACAGTCGGACAGTTCGCTCATTTAACATCTTCTCATTTCGAAATATTTCTTCTCGACTCTCGAGCCGCTACCCCAAGCCCATCTCGTTTTATTTCATCGGAATGCGCGCAAAATACGAAAGAGACGCAGCTGCGATGTCTTTACCTCTTACAAAGCCTACCATTCAGAGAGATCTCACATATAGATTACCATCATGGAGATTGCGGAAAAACTTGTGTGTTACAAAACGGTGCATACGTCGAAAAGTTATAAACGAAAGATTATGTTTCCATTATTGATATTTCATGTAATTTTCAATCGCTGTTACTTTTCAGCTTCCTGATTTTTATTCCAAGAATAATTAATCATTTCCGAATAAAAGATAACTTTTGATTGGAGTAAAAGAAAAATAATATAAAACAAAAAAAGAAAGATGTTTTGTATATTATGCTAATGTAAAATGAATAATGTCAAACGAATAATCTCATCGTAATAAAGAGAACCAATTAATCAATTTAAGAAAGAGAAAGGGAAAAAAGGAGTAGGAAGAGGCAGGGAGAAAAGAAATATTTTATATTTCGTCGTTTGACGAATTAACAAACATTAATAACATCCTAATTCATGCTTGAAAATATATTAAATATATCATTACGCGCACGCACGCACACATCGCATGATCAAGCGGCCATCTCGTTAGCAACGAGGTGTCTCGTGTCTACGAGGTCAGTATAAATAATATACGAATATGACTGACGTCCTGCCCGCGCAGGATCTACTTATAGACTCTTCACCTACAGATGGGACGCGTATTAATCGAGTTTCGGATTTTCGGAGCGTGCGACCGGGCGTGTTACTCTCCTACAATATGTCGAATTTATTCATAGAATTTCTCATAGCTAACTCGCTAGTAGCCAATTATACATAGATAAAGATGCTCGTAAGAGGTATTATTGCATGCCGTCGTCTACTATGCATAATAGCACAATTACATACGTAATATGATAATGAGCATAATAGTTTAATGCGGACCAGACAATCTAAATACCATAAATTATCGACATATAAACTTGATAAATTACTAATTGAAATATATGCGGCGAAATTCCTTTAATCGACTATAATAATCATTTTTACTCGAAAGGGACAAGACATACCTGACATTGTCAATAAAAAATATAATTGTCTTTTACGTAATTTCAATGAGTCTGCAATTGATATGTTTTTTTCGATTTTTTTTACGGATTATATCTTTATTATTGCTTCATTGGTGACGATTGAGTGAATTGTAAGGAAATAATTCCGAATAGTAAGAAAAAAGCTCCACTCTAAATAAGAGATCTTATCTTTAAAAAATAGTACATCTTGAGCAATGAATTGTCGCATTATCGTTCCTCTCTCTCTTAACAAGAATTTCTTCTGGTGCAATAGCGATTTTTCGGACAACACTTTTTATGCTTGATAAAATCATTTGAAATCGTCGATATCATATCGTCGTTCCACGTTCTAGAGATTTATAAAATTTACTCTATTCACACTCTATACACACGTAATTAATTTATACACAATTACGTAAATTAATTAAGTAATTAATTATTATTTTACATGTTATACATGTACACTTATCGTGATTATTGTGATTAAGAATATTTTATCTTAATATTGCATTTTTATGTGCAAAGATTAATACATTAATCTTTGCACATCAAAATGCGAATTAATAAACGAAAACTTACAATTGCATTGCCTTGTTGCATCCACATAAATAACGTTTATCTTGCATCCTGTATTGAGTGAAAAGATAAAAATAACAGCATTATTTTTTTATGATGATACTATTTGATCTTATGTGTTTCTTTTTTTGCATCTATTAAAAAATTTGCAAAATTTTCAAAAGAAAAAAATTTAAAAAAGGTAGTACGGAAAAGAAAGCCTTTAAAAAAAGCAGAGATATGTGCGTGTTTAAAATAGATATACTTGTTCGAATGATATATTTAATAGGACTTTTACTCCTCTAATTATCTATGTCCATCATCTTTAAGTTAAATTATAGACACATAAGAAGTATAAAAACACTTTTTTAAATCAAATGTCTCTAATTAAGATATCATATCCACTTACCCCTTTATGCATTTGCATCTACTTGGCCATCTAGTGTATTGAAAATTAGTACTTTTTGCATTATTATGTCAATTTTCATAAATTCGTTATTACAGTATCACCGGTCATACGAAGCGTAATCCTTTTATGATTCTATATGATCAAATATATAATCTCGAGAGACATACTTGTCTACACGCGCTTATATTTCTCCCATTTATTATTACTTTTTATATTATTATGACATTATTAGTATGAAGAAAAGAAAAAAAAATTATATACAATGAAATAAAAGCTTTAGGAAGACGCGCGTGTATGACCAGCGTGACTCACTTTTCACTTTCCTGTTTCTGCAGTAATTTTCTCATTCTAGTGTTGCACACGCAATATTTCTTCCTGTCGAATAAAAAAAAGGATTACTTCTGACATCACTATTTATCATTTTGGTTTGGTTCGGTCTATAGTTGAAAATGCTCACTTTTCTTTCAAGAAACTGATGTAAAGAAATAATATCCCGGTAAATCCAATAATAAACTTTCCAAGGTACCAAGTGAGATCGGTCGTGCAATTCGGCATTGCGAGTATTATACACCCGGGATCCGAGTCTCAACACCTTTGCTTGATATAATTCGTTCAATATCTAAGTAATATTGTTACTTCTTTTTACTTTCTCACAATTTAAAATCCACGAAACGTGATATTACAAATATATAAAACAAATGATTCAACGCGTGACAAAAATCTTAAAAATTTGCTGTTTAGTTCATTATTCGTTACTCATAAATTGATGATATTGCATTTGCATATTATTATACATATAGCGCCGTGTTCTTTCGATATATCGATAGTATATATGTGTGCGCGCGCGCGCGCGCGCGTGTGTGTGTGTGTGTGTGTGTGTGTATCCTCGTATATAAATTACGCCTCGTCATTTTTTTAATTTTTTAATCGACAATGAGAACAGGCAGAGCTTCATGTATAAAATTAATTTCATATAATTAATATAATTTTAACTTTTTTTTTCCCCACGTCATTTTTTGTGATTCCCCAGGTCATTTGCGTTTTACGTTTTCTATTAAAGGATCCTTAGTGGATATTTCGTTGAAATTATTTCAAAGTGTTTTTAAACACTTTCAGCAAAATTTCAGCATTTCAGAAAAATTTCAGTTTAATTTCAGCGATTTTTAGTTGAAAAATTCATTTTAGCAAAATTTCAGAGAAATTTTAGTTTAATTTTAACGTTTTTTTAGTATGTTAGCTGAAAAATTCACTTTTAGCAAATTTTTAACAATTTCGCTGAAATATTCCAAACGTGGAATTAATTTCAGCAAAATTTTTTTCACCAGGGATTACATCGTAACCTTAAAACAAGATATACGGTTTTCAAATTTTACTTAGTAAAAGTTTCAACTTTTTAGTATGTAGTATGATTAAAAGTGAAATGACTTTTGATGATCAGTGAAACCATCATGTAAGTTTGGCACATATTTTACCCGCGTACGCGACGCGTGGAGTAATCCTACGAGAGAGAATAAGGATTAAAATTATAATGTATTGAAATAATGAAAAAATTTTGCTTAATTTCTCTATTAAAAGCAAAAATTACTATTTTCGATTGATTATTTTGTGTATTCCTTTCTTATAAGAAATATTAAAAAATAAATATAAAATAATTTATCATTTCAACAATTCTTTTATTTTTCTTGAGGTTCCATCGTGCAACTAAAGTATGAAAAAAGATGTTGAATGACCTGTCAACATATTTGCTGTCTTGACGACATCCTTAGGCAGAACTGCCCATGATGGAAAGAGAAAAGAAAAAACATCCAAAATGACACCCCTTCGTTCCACGCTCATTAGAATGAATTCTTTGGTGCGTGTCACGCCTGCCTCCTACTACTGTGCGCGCGCGCGTATGTGTGTGTGTGTGTGTGTGTGTGTGTGTGTGTGTTGCGTGCACGCGCATGACATATGTAAATTTAAACTTGTCTAACCGTATAAATTTAAGAGAATAAAATATCCCGTGGAAAAAGATGTATTACATAGCTTGGATTTTAATCACTCAACTTATGTGGTAAAATATTATGAACACAGAACATTAAAAATATATAATTAAAAGTTCCCCAATTATACATCGCTTAATTGATTGAATAAAGAATAATTAATTAAATAAACAGCGAGAACGATGTAAACTTTCAAGACACACACGTTATAATATGCACCAAGAATTAATTTTCAACTGTGCTCAGCTTGAAAACTTTGCAAATGTTTAATTTCTTTCAATAAAAAATAAACATATGGATGTCTCCTTAATGGAAGAAGCGTAAACGAAACTCCTAGAAGGCGAAAATTGAAACAATGAAATGTAAAAGAAGCATTTACACTTCTTTTACATTTTGATTCAATTTTCAATTTTCTTCTCCTAGAAGTTTACGCTTCTGTTACTCTCCCATTACATTCAATTTACGATGTTTATTTTCATCGGAATTAGTAAAATGTTTATGTACGATATGTATATAAAATGTTGGCAATACTTAG